TCTTACACAACACCACAACACCATACTCTCTTCTCCTCTCGTCTCCTCTCTCTCTCTCTCTCGCTCTCTCTCTCTCTCTCTCTCAGTCTCTTCTCTCCCTCTTCTACTCCCTCTCTCCTCAACTCTCCCATCCTTCCCGATCCCCTCTCTCCACTCTCTCTTCTTCTGTTCTCTCCGGTCCGTGCTCCTCTCTGATTGCTTCCCATCCTACTCTCTCTCTTCTCCCCTCCTCTCCTCCCGCTTCTTCTTCTCTCTCTCAGTCTCTCTCCCTCCCCTCTCCCCTCTCTCCTTTTCCCTCTTGCCTCTTTTCCCCCTTGTCCCCCCGCTCTTTCATCTCTACTTTCTGTATCTATTATCTAATAGATCGATTTATATATCTATGTATCTATCTATTCTATAATCGTCCTCCCCTCCCTCCCTTCTTCCCCTCCCCTCCTTCCCTCCCCTCACTTCTCTCCCCTTCCCCTCCCTCCTTTCCTCCCTCCTCCTTCCCTTTCCCTTCCCTCCCTCTCCCTCTCTCTTTTCCCTCCCCTCCCTCCCTCTCCTCCCCTCCCTCCCCCACCATCCCTCCTCCCCTCCCCTCCCTCTCCCCACCATCCGCCAAATCAAAAAAAGACCCTTCCCCCCTTTCCCTCTCCTTCCCTCTGCCCTTCCTCCCTCCCTCCCCTCCCCCCTCCCCCACCATCCCAATAAAAAAAAGACCTTCCCCTTCCTTATCCTTCCCTCCCCTCCCCCCTCCCCTCCTCCCCTCCCTCCCCTCCCACCCCCCCCACCATCCCAATCACAAAAAAAAACCTTCCCCCCTTCTATCCTCCCTCCCCTACCCCTCCCCTCCCTCACCTCCCCTCCCCCTCCTCCCCCACCACCCAATTCAAAAAAGACCTTCCCCCCTTCCCCCTTCATTCCCTCCCCCTCCCTCCCCTCCCCTCACCTCCCTCGCCTCCCCCTCCCAATCAAAAAAAAAACCTCCCCCTTCCCTTGCTCTCCCCTCCCTCCCCCCACCATCCCCCTCCCCTCCTCCCTCCCTCCCTCCCCCACCACCCAATAAAAAAAAAAACCTTCCCCCCCTTCCTTATCCTTCCTCCCTCGCCCGCGCTCCCCCCACCATCCCAATCAAAAAAAAATCCTTCCTTCCTCCCCTCCCTCCTCTCCTCCCTCCCTCCCTCCCCTCCCCTCCCTCCCCCACCTCCCCAATCAAAAAAAAAAACTTCCCCCTTCCCTCTTCCTTCCCCTCCCCCTCCCCCCTCCTCCCCCCACCATCCCAATCAAAAAAAAACCTTCCCCCCCACCCCCTCCTTCCCTCCCCTCCCTCCCCTCCCCTCCCTCCCTCCTCCCTCTCCAATCAAAAAAAAAAACCTTCCCCCTTCCTTATCCTTATCCTTACCTTGACCTGAAAAGCGGTGGCAAAGCTCCCGTCCTCACAGTACTCGATGGGACCCCAATCGCCCCAACTCAAGCCATTGTCGAGTCTGAGCGAGTCCGTAACCTGCGTCGGGGTAGCCTTGGGCCCGGGGGTACACCTGTGGGTACACCGATACGAGGTATGAGAGAGAAGTGGCATTTGCAAGGTCTGTTAGTGTTTAGATTGTTGTTGGGTTTTGTTATTGTTGTTGGTATTGGTGTTATGATCATTATTATCATCGCTTTTATCGTTGTTGTTAATGTCACTGTTATTATTTTCATTATTATGATCAATCTTATTATTCATGTATCATTATTGCTATCATTATTATTGTTATTATTATTTATTATTATTATCATTATTATCATTGACATTATTATTATTATCATTATTACAATAGTTGTTGCTGTTGCTATTATCATTATTTTTACTTTTATCATTATTATCTTTACTAATATGGTTATTGTTATTACTATTTCTACTTACGCTCTGGTTGTTGAAATCGCTGTCTTTACTCCTGTTGCCGAGTTATAAAATGACCCAACAGGAAATTTCCCTCTTTCATCTCTAACACTTTGTTCAGGATCTTTTGTACAGCTCCCACATCGCCCGGTACCCCTAATTTTTTCAGTCCACATAGGTCAAACTATCTAAGACCAGGTGTCACAGGATCTCCACCCCCCCACACCCCCTCACCCAAACACACCCTGGACAGATTGGCTCACCACTATAGCTACCCCCCCTAACGTGTCATAGCAGGAAATAGGCCTAAATTCTTTTGGCACACTTCCGAGGGTGATTATAACCACAGGGACAACCTGGACCTTCCTGAGTTGGAACAGTCTTCCAGTTTTCCTCCGTAATTCCTGGTATTTCTCCACTTTTTTTTCTTTCCTTTTCATGTACTCTTGCATCGGCGGGCACTGCAATATCAAAGATTTTCCTACCGTTTTCCTTCTTATCAATAATAGCAATGTCTGGTCTCTTTGCTTTTATTACATTATTGCATTGTGTATTTATATCCCACAGCAATTTTATATCATTCTCTGCCTCTCCTTCTGGGTCATGTTCATTCCATCTTTCCTTATGTTCTAATGT